TTATAAAAGAAATTGAAGTTTTAATTGTTAGAACACCAGCTTTTAATAAATGTTTTAAAATTTTAATGGCTGAATTTAATAAATTATTAATACAAATTATGGTTGTTATTCTTTTTGTGTTGATTAAATATTTACAATCTTTACATAGTTGGAAAGTTAAAAAAGTGAAAGACAAAAAAAAAAAAAAAAAAAAAAACCTCATTTGCTTGTAATGTTACTTTTTTTTGCTTAATTTTTTGTTACTCAATAAAAATATTTTTCTTCAATGTCTTAATTTATTAACCTATCATATAATTCAAATTAAAAATTTTTATTATTAAAATTTATTATTAAGTTAATTATATATGTAGGTCAATATAAGCCGACCTATTACCAAAAAAAAAAAAAAAAAAGAATATAAGCCGACCAAAATTATTGTAATAATATATAAGTTATGGATGACAATGGATTCCTATAGGAGTAAAGACTCATCGCTATCCTCGTTAATAATGGGTATAAAGGTTCTTGTGGAGATTTTTGATGGAAGTAAAAAATGACCTCCGTCCTCCTACCTATAAGAAATAATAGATTTTAACAAATATTTAAAGTTCTCATTAAATATTAAATATATAATATTTTATTTTATTTTTTCTTCGTAAGTAAAAAATAAAAATTTAAAACAACTCAAATAAGTAAATACGTTAATATGCAGTGCAGTATAACAATATTTAGTAATCAATTGCAATAAATACATATTACCATATACGTTCAACAAGTTCAGCAGTGAGTTCATAAAAAAAATGCATGCTCTATTATACATGTTTAGGTTAGATTGAGATATTGAATTGGGTTTGAGAAGGCTAGAACTGGAAAAGGAATTAGGCTTGACAATTTAGATTAGGTTGGGTTAGCAAATTAAGTTAGATGAGTAAAAATTAATTGTTAATATATTTACAAAAATACATATAAGAATAAATTTATATATATTTTTATTATATATGAATCATCACACATCTCCACAGAGTGGAAGAAATTCCCCATAAAATTTTACAGGGGAAAAAAACATCCATCCTCATTCTGCGAAAAGAAATATTTTTAAAATCTCTATTCTCGCAAAATGAATCTTTGCGAAGCTTCGTAGGTTTCAAAAGAAATTGTCATCCCTAAACAAGCACAGGGGATAGAGTGTCTGATGAGAGCGAGATAGCATTTGTTTAAAGCTGCCCCTAAAAGAAAAATGGGCAGGTGAAGTTGAATTAAAACATGCAAAACAGGGCGATGTCACTTGTGTATGCCGACTTCTATAGGAACATTCTAAGATTGATTTTCTTGTATAAATGCAAACAAATACTATAAGATTAAAACAACAGCCCGTTTCGACCTAATAGCATGGATCTTGAATTAGGACCATTCATCTCTTATATGTGTCGTGTTCGAACTCCACGAAATTCCTTTTTCTTTTCCCCAACTAATATATGTAAATAATTTCAATTTATTTAAAAAAAAAACCAAAAAAAAAAAACTATATGAAGATATTACTTATATTTTTTAATCTAGCATCCTTTTCTTCTATAAACACATTATTAGATACTTTACATTAAACTAATGTATTAAAGAAAATTATTTTTTTTAAGTATAAATTTTAATATTTGAATCTTAAATTTGATTTATAAAATTACATTTATTTATTAATGAATTTAATTCTTAAAGTTAAATGTTATTTAATTATTGATTAAACTTTCAATTTGGTTCCTTAACTATTGTATGAACCCTTGATTTTATCCTAAAGTAAAAAATTCTTCATTTGGTTTTTACTATTTACCTATTTGACCTCAAGTTGGTCCTTCCATATAAAAATAATTGACATGTTTCCTTATTAAAATGACATGTGACCATTAAATAATAGTTTTTTTGTTGTTAAGTAACCAATATGTTAATTGATTTTTAATGAAAAAACTAATTTAGAACTAAATTGGTAAACATCAAATTAAAGATTTTTTAAATTTAAGAACCAAATTAAAGATCCATATAATAGTTGAAAAACTAAGGGCCTGTTTGGTATAGCGGTTAAAATTCAACGGATAGCGGATAGCAGGTAGCGGTAGCAGGTAGTGGGTAGCGGGTGGCGGGTAGCGGGTGGCGGGTGGCGGATAGCGGATAGCGGATGGCGGATAATGGATGGTGGATAACGGAAAGTGGGTAGCGGATGGTAAATAGCGGATTCGATAAATATAACTGTTTGGTTATACAATAGTTAGCGGTTGTT